AATAGAATAGAATAGAATAGAATAGAATAGAATAGAATAGAATAGAACAGAACAGAACAGAACAGAACAGAACAGAACAGAACAGAACAGAACAGAATAGAATAGAATAGAATAGAATAGAATAGAATAGAATATGGAATGAATAGAATAGAACAAGGAATGGAGTGGAATGGAATGGAATGGAATAGAATATGGGATTAGAATAGAAATAGAATAGAATAGTAGACAATAAAATAGAATAGAATAGAATTAGAATAGAACAGAACAGAATATGGAATAGAACAGAATATGGAACAGAACAGAACAGAATATGGAATAGAAGAGAAGAGAAGAGAAGAGAAGAGAAGAGAAGATGGAAATAGAAGAGAATAGAACAGAACAGAACAGAATATGGAATAAAAAGATAACAGAACAGAAGAGAATATGGAATAAGAATGGAATAGGGTATGATAAGGTAGGGTAGGGTAGGGTAGGATATGTTCACTGCCTTGAATTATCTGTAAAAATAATAAAGGCAGGATACAAATAAATATATATAGTCCACTATATGCTAAGAAGTGCAATTAAATTACTGCTCAATTGTGATGAAGAATAGCTTTCCATGGCCATTTCCCACAAACCCCATGCATGTTGTTTTTCTGATGAGAGCACAACCAGGCTCATCAAACAGTCATTTTCAGATGTTGCCAGTATCAACAACTCTACTTCAGCCATTCAAGGATATCAAATAACTGAATCCTCAGCAGTGAGTGAAATAAAAGATTACAATATTCAGCAATGTTGAAAATTCCCCAAAGAGCTCATTTCTTTACAGGGAAATTTTATCGCAGCCAGCGCATTCCTTTTTCTAATCTCAACCGTGTAGCCCTTTCCTCATAGTGGCACATCACTAATGCTCACATTTCCAGAAGTTGGTCACCTTCCATAAATAAGTCAGCCACCTGCCCATTCTTTTCAACTCTTTGCCTTCAAGCCAGCCTTTCATCCTTTCACCTAACCAATGTTCTCAGGTTTATTATGAAACCTACCGCTCTTCGCCGCTAGTCATTATTCAAAGTCGCTTCCTATTTGATTGCTTTGAACCACCTTGCAACAGAGCCTAAAATGCATTTTTTCTCAACTGCTTTTGGCATGGCACAAATGACGCTTCTCTTTCTCTCTTTCTCTCTCTTTCTGTCTCTCTCTTTCTCTCCCTCCCTTCCTCTCTCCCTCTCCCCTTCCTTCCTTCCTTCCTTCCTTCCTTCCTTCCCGTATTTCCACTCTTTAGCAGAAAAGAAATGGTTTACAGATGAATCGGATAATGCCTATCCCAGAAACATTCAAATCAAGCCCATGACCACTCACGTGGCCAATCACATCAACCAATATAAGTCTACAAGCAGCTTGATTCCACCAATCAGAGAAGTCGAAGATGAATGTTGACTCCTAGGATGGGACAATGCGTTTCTTTCTTTTTAATAAAAAAAATAATTAAAAAAATAGCAAGAGAGAGGACCTGACGGACTTCATGAATGGTGATATAACATTTATTCCTCTTTAATGCTGAACCTTTGGTGGGGAAAGTGAATCAAAAGCAAGGGTTTGCCGGAAAGTACAGTAGACAGATTTTTTTTGTTTGTCTGCCTTTAATATTTGCTTCCATGTATTTTGGAAACTATTTCATTTATATATGAACATAATAAAAACAGTCATGTATAGTCTCTAGCATTTTAAATTATTTTTATTTATTAGAAAGAAGATATATGATGAATATATTTCTTTATTCACTGTCAAGTATTTTCCCTCAAAACAAGAATAGCTGCAGATTGTGGCTGGACTCCCAAAACATTATATATAGACACAAGGACAGAAAAGAGTAGGAATATATATATATATAGATATTCATATTCATATTCCTACTCCTTTCTGTCCCTTTCAGGAGAATGATGGTCACAATTCAAAGCAAAAAATGTAATTAAGAGAGAGAGAGAAATAATGTATTTTAAACAAGTCCACTTGTATTTTAGTAAATCAAAGAAGAAGAAAAACAGAGAAGCGTTTACTAGAATGTTTCTTTTCTGGAAGACATGTATTTTGTTTAGCATTGACACCAGCTCTTAATAAACTAAAGCTTATTTATTTTGGAAAAAAAAATGGAAACGTCCTATTTTTATAGAAAGAATATTATTCTGGAATTATGAATCTTTAAAGATAAGACTTCCCATTCTGGTGCCTTCCAGACGTTCCCCCATACAGTGGAGGACACTATCTTGAGAATGGCTTTCTTATCATTATAGAGCTCACAGGTCATAATGGAATCTTCCAATCAAATAATTGTGTCTTACGGGGGACATTCAGACAATGAGTTTTATGGGGGGGAAATATCAGTGCAGCATTTGAATGGTCTTCCCAGTGTGCTTTTCCAAAAGGCAACTGGACTTTCTTGTTTTCCCCCTTGTAAACATTTCGCTTCCTATCCAGGAAGCTTTTTCAGTTCTGTTGAGTTCAGTCCAGAACTGAAGAAGCTTCTTGGATGAGGAGCAAAATGTTTTCAAGGGAAAGAAGAAGAAAAAAACTTAAGAAAGTCCAACTGTCTTTTGGAAAAACACTTTGGGACAGCCATGACCTGGATGATTGAGAATCTCCATGGACATTTGAATGGTCTCTGTTTCCTCCAGAAACCTGTAGAAATTCCTTTCTGTAGCTTTCTGGGGAGTGTCATCAGAAGATCTCAGGATGAAGAGGGGTTAACTATGACAATTGAAAATTTCTCCACACGCTTCAGAAGGCATTCACAGCCCAATCTCATATTTAAAAAGATAGGCTTATCGTTTGACAATGAGACTTTACTGAGTGGTTTATATTAATCTAGGGGGGAAAAACCTAAGGTTGGTTACGCACCCTGAAAAATGATAAAATTCATGCCAATATCTCAATGATGTCTTGTGTTGATAATGGCAGATTTCAGCTTCTCAGTCATAATACATGCAGATGTTAATCAAGCTCTAACTGTGATGCACACACTATGATCCAGAAATGGCTTACGCTAAGCTACCTAATTTCTGACTATTTTTTTTTTTAAGTTAGAAATCAAATATTCAATTTCCAAGTGTTTGGAACTCTGTCCATTAGAGTTACATCAAATGAAGCCTAAGCATCACAATAAAGAGTAAGGACTATGCTTAATGTCAGAAACACAAAGCATTTAGAAAAGGCTATTACACCTCAGAGCTTTTCTTCCTCAAAATGGAGGACGACCCTCTCTAGCCATTAGACAAAATTGTGGCATCTCATATCTGTATTGCAAAACATAGTTAACTCCAGCATTTGAGGCTGTAAATAATTCAGCAACTCTCTCTCTCTCTCTCTCCAGTTTAAATTATGTAATACTGACCTGGATCCACCTAGACAGAGGAGTCCTTGAAGAAAATGGCTACAATCAGGTGGAGGTCAAAAATGGCACCAGGTCACAGCTACACCAGCTAGTGTTAAGCTTTGTAATTGTGCAAAGTTGTAAACATCCTGAGATTTAAGCATTCTGTGCTATTGTTATCATTAGAGTAATATATCAGTGAATCAAATCAGCACTGTATGACCTTAACCTAAAATTTACTTCAGCTTTAATGTTGGTCTACTAGTTGCAAGACAAATATATTTCTTATTTTGTCCTAATAGGCTGAATTCCCAGAGTGGCTCCTTCCACAGTGACTACTCTGTTGTTAACTTTTGCAGAATTATTTATTCAAACGTACCAACAAACGAGACTGGTGAATGCAATGTATAGAGAATTGATCGAAGGGACTTGGTGTCATCTCTTTTTTTCCCCCCTGAAAAATCAGCAACGAAGTACAGTTTTCTTTAGCCATATCATAAGACCCACCTGGAGGTGGGTCTATACTTCAGAGAAATCTTACCGCTGTAAAAATATATATATGGGCAGCTGGCAACAAGTCTTTTGCACTAGGTATGTTTTCAAAGGGCATGAGCCATGATGCATGTATGAATGAGCAATTGTGGAATAGGCCATGGATGGTGTCATTCTGTACTCCTTTTTCATTCATGAACTGAAAGATGGTAACATTATCACCTGCTTTGATATAATCATGTATTGGAGTTTAGAATATTGGCTCTGGGAGCAAAGCATAGAAAATCAGTATGTGTGTGTGTGTGTATATATA